TTGACACCGGAAGGTTCTACTATATAAACTTAACTTATACTGATTGGCTAGATTCAGTCATAATCTGTTTCGTTTCACTTTTTTTTTTTTAATCCAGTGATTTTTTAATATTTCACAAAGTTTTTCTGGAATTCTTTATTTACAGGACATTCTGCGAATAACAGGTTGTTGTTACGATTAGTGTGACTTATTTATACTTATTAAATAATGTTTTTCGTAAAAGCATTTTAGAAAATAAACTGTGAATCTTCTATCATAAGGCTTTTAATATGTAGCGTTCTAGTATTAAAAAAACGTTATTTAGAAGGAAAAAAGAAGAAGATAAAGTAAAAGTCGAAAAAGATTCTACTTACAAGTACATTGGGAAAAGAAAACCCCGAATAAGACAACATGATAGTTAATCAGATTTTAATTTGTATAATTCTTAGAGTAACAGGAAGAAGCTTGTGGTTAATCTGATTTCTGTTTCTACAATTATTACAGTAACAGGAAGCACCTGATGGTTATAATCGCTAGCAATTACCTCATATAATAATATTACTATCTATAATTGTTATACAACAAATTAACTACAGATTTTATCCTCAAATTCCTATCGCCATACACCAAATAGAGAAACCAGTTCCTTAGATATCCCAGTTTATCGCCATACATCAAATAGAGAAACCAGTTTCTTAGATATCCCAGTTTATCGCCATACATCAAATAGAGAAACCAGTTTCTTAGATATCCCAGTTTATCGCCATACATCAAATAGAGAAACCAGTTTCTTAGATATCCCAGTTTATCGCCATACATCAAATAGAGAAACCAGTTCCTTAGATATCCCAGTTTATCGCTATACATCAAATAGAGAAACCAGTTCCTTAGATATCCCAGTTTATCGCCATACATCAAATAGAGAAACCAGTTTCTCAGATATTCCAGCTTATTACCATACACCAAATAGAGAAACCAGTTCCTCAGATATTCCAGCTTATCACCAAATATAGAAACCAGGAGATATCTTACGTCCATCATCATTCTTACTTCAGACCTATCGCTGCTGTCATGATCCATCTATTATATTAAGTCTATAACTCAATGAGCAGTAAAGAGGTAGGGATGACACCAGGTATACATTCTTACTTGGATTTCAACTACTGACTTTATGAAAGTCATTTTCTTAATATTCCATTATTGTTTTATGTCTAATGTTTTTTTACCCACCCCATGAAACTTACTTTAAAGCTTCGGAACAGCATTCACTTCACTTCGAAGATATAACACATATTATTGAACTGACTGATAACTGTCTTCTTGATCTACCCCCAGCGCAACATATGTCCTGAATGACAGTTATATCACACTCCAGGATTTTTAGCTGGTTCTGAGAGGGTAGGTGCAACCCAGCCCCTGGCTCAGACGGGATTACAGACTGTCATCTTCCGTTTTCTACTTGTAACATTTTATACCAATTTGCTTACTTCTGGATTTGACCCTAATTCCGGGAAGAATTCTATTATTTTACTTGACCTAAAACCTAATTGGCCTCTAATCAATATTAGTTATTATTGTTCTATTAGTCTTACTAGTGTCATCGGTAAAATTAAACTTTCTAATGCGTTTTAGTTCATTGTCTCCTCAGATTAATTTCTGATCACCAACTCTTGCCATCTATCTATCTATTCGGTCATAGCTGTCAATACTGGATCAACTTCTTACATTATCCAACTCTGTCTCCAATCGTTTCATCAGATAATTGTGATTATGAGTGTGATGATTAATCAGATTTTAAATTGTATAATTATTATAACAGGAAGCAACTGATGGTTAATCAAATTTTAATTTGTATAATTATTATAACAGGAAGCAGGTGATGGTTAATCAGATTTTAATTTGTATAATTATTATAACAGGAAGCAGGTGATGATTAATCAGATTTTAAATTGTATAATTATTATAACAGGAAGCAACTGATGGTTAATCAAATTTTAATTTGTATAATTATTATAACAGGAAGCAGGTGATGGTTAATCAGATTTTAATTTGTATAATTATTATAACAGGAAGCAGGCCCATCAATTGCATGTTCCTACTTAACATATATCGGGTACTTTGCCTCATCCAAGTTTTCTTTACTTACAACCAACTGACTGCCCGTCATATGACGGTAAACGCTGATTAATTTTTTTATAAAAATTAGATCTAAGAAAATGTTTTATGAACATGTTTTCTAAAAATTAATTATATTGTAGTAACAATAAATGTATAAAGGATGTTTATCATTTTCTATTATTTCACGAAAACAGCATTTTTTTTGTGTATATTTTGTCATCTCCTGTAAGCTGCCCTTGATTAGAAATTTTACTTGTGTACATTTATTTGATATGTTCAAATCTTCTTTACAAAGCCTTATAGATTGAACCATGCGAAAAAACTTCTTCTTGAAGAAATATTCCTATATGGGTGAATGTCTGACTCTGTGATTTATTAATTGTGATGCCAAAGGCAATGAATTCTATGGTGAAGGGCAAGTGCACGAAGGTATAAGTTTGGTAAAAATGCTTAAAACGTTTTGATTAATTTTTTAAACTCTTATCAAAGATGATAAACATCAAGAATAATGTATTGTTGCGCCATCTATTGGGTTAAAAAGATATTTTGTTTTTGACACATACAGTCATTGGTATTTATTATGTATAATGATATTATTCTCGAGTAATCTATAATTGTATTCGTATTTTTCCGAATATTCAAATAGCTTGTTGTAACTATTATAGTAAATATTTAAAAAATAGATATGATAACAATAAAAGTAACATAAAATCCCTACTCGACTAAGATTTTGAACGTAGGACTTCCAAATTAGAGTTTAGCGCTATAACCCTTGTGACACCCAGTCTTTGTAATCACATGTTAACAAATAATTCATATCCCTAATGTAAACTATTATATCATCGTGGCTTGACCTAATAGGGTAATGTGTTGCTTTTAAACATGAGTTAATAATTTTAAAAAATCATAAAAAAATTCCCACTCAACTGGGACTTAACTCGAGATTTCCGCTTGAGACAAACCACCAATCCAATTTGAACGTTACCAACAGAGAATCGTGCCTTACCAACAAGGGTAGCGTAACGAGTGATTTTTAATAGATAAACTATTGTTTAATATTTTCTTATGAAAATATTTACGTTTTATGTTAAACCCAGATAACTTATGTGAAACTTAATTACTACATATTAGTAAATTTGGAAATATCTGACGTGTATAATGTTACCACCTAAATTTTAGAAATTACTCCACTATTAGCCTGTAAATGCCACAGTTCCTGGGGGGTCAGTCTAATTGATCCCCATAGAATTACTGTGTTCAGTTCTGTTAGTTAGAAAAACCCGAAGGCTAAAAAATATACTTACTACAAAAACCTATAACACTGGCGCTTTCGAAAGAAGGACCTTTCATAATCAAGGGTAAACTGGAAATGTTGCCCTGACGCAGAAGCGCGCTTTGATTTAAACTGGAAATGTTGCCCTGATGCAGAAAGGCGCTTTGATTATAGGGTTTTGTATTTTCATGTTCAGATCTCAACTAACTATTGCTTCCTTCACCTGCCTGTAAGTTGCATTAAATACTGCAAAATTGCATTTTTTGTGGGGTTTTCACAATATAGTTACTTTACTTTGGTTATATATTCTGTGGGGTTTTCACATCAGCACCAATACACTAGTCATTTACCGTACTGTATGTGACTTTGGTTGTATTTTCTCTGAGGTTTTCACATCAGCACCAATACACTAGTCATTTACCGTACTGTAAGTGACTTTGGTTGTATTTTCTCTGAGGTTTTCACATCAGCACCAATACACTAGTCATTTACCGTACTGTAAGTGACTTTGGTTGTATTTTCTGTGGGGTTTTCACATCAGCACCAAGACGCTAGTCATTTACCGTACTGTAAGTGACTTTGGTTGTATTTTCTGTCAGGTTTCACATCAGCACCAATACAGTTAGGGAGTTACCGTACTATAAGTGGCCTTGGTTTTATTAACTGTAAAAATCGTTTCTTATTTTCATCCATATTTACTATAATAGCATGTATTTTACTTCAGTAACAAAATGAATTTTTTCTCCTTTTACATAAGAACAGTTTGTTTGTAGTTAAGCACAAAGCTACACAGTGGGCTATATGTGCTCTGCCCACCACGGGTATCGAAACCTCTAGCGGTATAGGTCCGTAGACATACCACTTTGCTACTAGGAAGGAATTGTCCTAGAACAAATCGTGTAAGTTTTAAAGGCGTGGGAATTATATAATTTATATTCTCAAGCTTATTTTCTTTACCACAGTTAAGCAATGTTCGCATTTTATTCGCTTGAGTTTCAAAATTTTCAAATTTCTAGTTTTGTAGGTTATCTTAAGCTCTTAGAAAAGGAATAAGCCATTTGTTGTAATATGTTATCAGAAAATCGACAATGGCAGCCTTAATATTACAAGGTCAAAATATTAGTGTTGTTTGTACCTCGGCCTTTGTAGCCCTTAAATGCGTTTTTTATTGTGGTTTTTAAGAATCGGTTATTTTCTTTGGTTTCAAATTAATATAAAACAAATCTAAAGAAGTTTGTTGCCTCTTTTAGTTCTTGGGCAACATTTCGTGTCCACCTTTAATTGCAGATTGATTAATTATACACGTACATTGGTACCCGTGGTGGGCAGAGCACAGATAGTTGTTTGTCTAGCTTTGTGCTTAACTACAAACAAACATAACACGTAATTTTAAATCGCCGAGTACAGTCTTTACATTACTTTATCCTATAAACGATTGGTTCTAAGTTTCTAATTAATGAATAACTGTAAAACTTAGGGGTATAAAACTGCTAATAGGGTTCTTGTCAAAAACATTTCTGTATTACATACATGCTACACGGTACAGTCTTTACATTACTTTATCCTATAAACGATTGGTTCTAAGTTTCTAATTAATGAATAACTGTAAAACTTAGAGGGTATAAAACTGCTAATAGGGTTCTTGTTAAAAACATTTCTGTATTACATACAATAACAGGAAACAACAACACCCGATTAGATAAATTTTAAAGAGAAACTTACCAGCTAAGGGTGCTCCTAAGATTGAAGCTACCCCCTGAAATAATAGCAATAGTCCAAAGGCATTGGTCAGTTTTTCCACGCCAAGAAGTTCAGCAGTGATAACTGACCGAAGAGCAGCGAAGCATGCTGAAAAACAAACACAATGTTATGTTTAGGCTAAAATGACGACAATTAACATGTATATATTATAGAACTTCTGTATATCAAACTCGTATAATTCAATATAGATTCTTCAAAAACAACTTTTAGCAAAAACACTGCAACGAACCCTGGTAAATTTCATTAAAACATACTTTTTATACCTTTTCTTGACGAAATAATTTCGGTTTCCGTCACGTGCAAGAGGTATAGACTGTACTATAAATCATATTTGCTTTTATTGCCTAATGACTATAAAATAACAGCCAGCCACAATACATTAGCTCTAATCAGATGAACACGGTCGATGTTTAAAAATGTTATCCACGTAAGTTTTATGTTTTTTAGACAGTTTGTTGTTCATTGGAACTATCTAGTTTTTTAGCTAGATCTAAACAGTGATAAATGTTGTAGCGTAAAACATATTTGTTTATATTGGATAAAAACGACAACTAAAACACAAGTACAGAATTAATTCATTTATTTCAACTTTTGCATCAACATCGGTCTTTAGCGAAGGCTTCTCTTTTACATGATTAAATTTTACAATACCAAACATCTTAAGAATGTCCATAACACACGCTAAGTTAATTGTGCTCGGTCATGGATACTATTTAGTTAATGTTTACAAATTATTACAACATTAGGCTTAACATACAGCACTATTTTACAGCTTCTAACAGGATTTGAAATACTTGTTCATACCCGCTTAACACACACAAAAAAGTATAACTTGTATAGTAAGTTGACGTATATAAGTAACTCTATACATACCAATAGCAAACCCGAAAACAGCACCGTAGGCTAGAAGAAGACTATAGGTGTTCAGGAGTGGATTCAAAACTGTCACTAGTCCGCCAACTATCAGAGCTATGTTATTGATAACGAGGGCTTTTACCTTGGGCTGATCACACACCCAGCCACTGAAGAGTCGTCCAATTGTATTAGTGATTCCAATGACGGACAAAATAAAAGCAGCCTTTTCTGGAGCCACTCCGCTCATTACTGCTCGGTCAATCAAGTACATAAAGGGTACAAAAAATCCTATCATAGTCAAAGAACCCGATAAGGCTAGCAGAAGAAAAGTAGGTCGAGAGAGTAGAGAGAAGTCCAGCATTTGACTAAACGTATCTATCATTGTTGGAGAACATCCACAACGCCACCATATGGATTTTTTTGTCTCTTCGCTGTGTTCTGGGATACGAATAATGCTAAAGTGGTAGTGTTCGATGTCTGGCTGTGACCGAAATTCTGGCAGACGGATGAGGCTTGCACTGAAGAGAATGTCTTGTCTGTAGAAGGGTCTTAGAGCCTGCTCCTTACTAATCCTTGGAAATATGTTGTTACTATTTTGTTCGTTTTTAAAAGCAGAAATTTTATCACGAGAATGTTCCTTGTTGTTTATGTAAGATATGATATCATCACTAATCACTTCATTGTACGGGGGTGGGGGACTTCCGTTGCTACACGTGGGAGATAAAGATGATCCCGTATGACAGGGATTATTTGAATCTGCAACTTGGAGGGTACTTCCTGTGGTGCATGGTATATTACCGACTAACGACGACCGTTTCCCAGTAGCTCCATTTTTTTTATCTAACAAATTGTCCTCTGCAGCTATTGATTCTTCTGAGTCCCACCGTTGTAAAGCTTCTCGGGCTTCTTTAATTCGCAGTAGCAACGGTTTTCGTTGGCTTTTACAAGGTGGGGCTGCCTTAGGAGAGCCCAAAGGGCGAAAAAGACAACCAAACACAGCACAGTGAAGGATGGTTCCAGCTAAGACCAACATTGCACCTCTCCATCCGAAATAGTCAATTAGAAACTGCGTATAAGGCGCTACCAAGAAAGTGCCAATACCGGAGCCGCATACTGCAATCCCTGTTGCCAAAGACCTCTTGCGTTCAAAATAAAAACCTACGGTAACAATACCAGGAAGGAAGATAAACCCAAAACCGGCTCCTGTAAAGGAAAATACAGAAATGAATAATACGCTGATACCTCAGAAATATTTGGAAATTTATCTTATTTTAATTTAATCTTTATGTTGAATGACCACATTCAGTGAAACGGAAAACCTATTTGAGGATCATATCCTGAATATGTAACTTTTTAAAGTCATGATTACTTCAAATAAACCGTATTTGATCCTGCACGTATTCTTACGAGAAATGTATGATCTGGTTTTATGTGTTATTATTGATATCAGTGTTATTACAGTAAATTCAGTGATTTAGAAATATTTTTATTCCTATACCTTGGGTTCTATTTCCCACGGTGGCCAGGACACAGGTAGCCCAATGTGTGAAGCTTTGGCTAAAAAAAATCTTCGAATACACTTCCTGTGTAACTTTTGTAAGCGACTTTATAATGTAATAATTTATCAGATATGTAGAGACCACTGAGAAATATAATTCTTGGATAAAATAATAACAGTGTGTGTTTAGTAAAAATAATTTAATGTGATAAATTATAGTTATAATTATTGTGAAAGTTTATATCTCTAAAGCTGTAACGATTTGGGAAAATGTTGATGTCTGTAACAGTAACCCCCCCCTAGTGGCACAGCGGTATGTCTGCGGACTTACAGCGCTAGAATCCGGGTTTCGATACCCTTGGCGGACAGAGCACAGATAGCCCATTGTGTAGCTTTGTGCTAAATTACAAACAAAGACACTGTAACAGTAACTTGTGTTTTTCTTATAGTAAAGCCACATCGGGCTATCTGCTGTGTCCACCGGGGGGAATCGAACCCCTAATTTTAGCGTTGTAAATCCGGAGACTTACCGCTGCCTCAACAGGGGACAACAGTAACCTACTCGGCCTAATAAGAAACTGCGTCAATTCACCATATGATTTGTCTACGATACATGTTTAGACTACAGATGTAACGAGTCATCTCTGAAACCTTATAATACTTAGTATATATATCTTTACATCCCTAGTTGTTTTATGACCAACCTCTAATTTCCCTGTATGATCTACCTCTAATTTCCCTATGACCTACCTCTAATTTCCCTTTATGACCTACGTCTAATTTTCCTGTACGAACTACCTCTAATTTCCCTGTACGACCTACCTCTAATTTCCCTGTATGACCTCCATCTAATTTCCCTGTATGACCTACCTCTAATTTCCCCGTATGACCTACCTCTAATTTCCCCGTATGACCTACCTCTAATTTCCCCGTATGACCTATCTCTAATTTCCCCGTATGACCTACCTCTAATTTCCCAGTACGACCTACCTCTAATTTCCCTGTACGACCTACCTCTAATTTCCCTGTATGACCTACCTTTAATTTCCCCTGTATGACCTACCTCTAATTTCCCCGTATGACCTACCTCTTAATTTCCCCGTATGACCTACCTCTAATTTCCCTGTATGACCTACATCTAATTTCCATCACATTCAATTAATATTTTTTTGTTTAGATAAAGAAAACAGGAGATAAATATGCATTATTTAATTCATTCACATATATATATAGCTGAAAATTCTTATTTCATATTCGTCAGTAGTGTAAAATGAAAGTAATCGGTAAAACCTACGAATTATATCTATGATATAAGTCCATATCACGATCAATCTTTTTAACACTTTGAAATATGTATACTGAAAAAAAAAATCTACTTACCTCCAAGGATTCA